AGTGTGAAGCAGCCACACACAATACATAAGCAAATGACATGGCTGTGTTTCAACTAAACTTTATTTACAAAAATAGGTAGTGGAGGGCTTCCCTGGTGGCGCAATGGTCGAGAGTCCACCTGCCGATGCAGGGGACACGGGTTCGTGCCCCAGTCCGGGAAGATCCCACATGCCGCGGAGCGGCTGGGCCCGTGAGCCATGGCCACTGAGCCTACGCGTCCGGAGCCTGTGCTCCGCAACGGGAGAGGCCACAACAGTGAGAGGCCCGCGTACCGCGAAAAAAAAAAAGGCAGTGGGCCTGTGGACCACAGTTTGCCAGTCCCTGATCTAAAGGAAAATGGGAAAACTATTTTAAAGCAGCTTCCTCCTGACAATTTCTAGTTACCTGTCTTAAAACCTTCAGCTGTCCACATCTCACCAGCACTTCTTGAGTGTTTCTATTTAATTTCTGGACTTAAAAAGATTTTTCCCAGAATCACAAATTCATGTATTTTAGATATGCAAACCTCAGGGTTGGGAGCCCAACTAGTATGTAGAGATTCTCCAGGTTGGAAAGGATTTAGAGATCATCTGACCCAACTTCCCACTCAATGAAGAAATTATCTAGCAAGTAGTCATTCAGCTCCTATTCAATGACAGGAAGGGTACTCATCTCCTCCCAAGACAGCTCATTTCATCTTCGGACAGCTCTAAGGTAAGATATTCTACTTGCTTCTTCTTAGCACATTTTACCACTTAATTGCTTGAGAATTTATTTACCGTGTGACTCTTTTTACTAGATTGTAAGATCTATGAGATCTGAAATTTTTTTTGTATTTGCAGCTGTTTTTTACTGCTGTCTCTCCAGCACTTTGAACAGTGGTACATAAAGGGTATAAAGTAATTGTTTACAGGGAGGAAGGAAGGGAGGGCAGGCAAACAAAACAATGCTGCATTTGGGGAACTTTAAGTAACTCAGCAGTACTAACATGACAGGCACAAGGGGAGGAGCAGAGCAGGTAACTGATACGGTTGAGTGCAACAGAGAAGCCCTTGAAATCTCACAGCAAGCGCAGAGGCTGAGGTGGTAATGTTTGAGGACCAAGTTTAGAATTCCCCCTTTCTCCCTTTTCCTCTTCCTTCCAAGCCTCCCCTGCACCATTCTGACGGTGATCATCTGTCACTGCAGTTTTCTGAAGCCTTTTCAAACAGGCCCTCCCCCAACAAAAAGTGCACAGCCCTAAAACCTCTAGATAGAGTATCCCCCCCTTACCCACAGGGGATATGTTTCAAGACCCCTGGTGGATGCCTGAAACCACACACAGTACAGAACCCTATATGTATTATGTTTTTTCCTATACAGTTAACCCTTGAACAATATGAGGGTTAGGGGCAACGACCTTCCGAGCACTCAAAATCCATGTATAACTTCTTACACTTGGCCCTTCATATAGGCAGTTCCTCCATACATGCAGTTCCTCTGTATCCTGAGTTCTGCATCCGTAGATTCAACCAACTGCAGATCGTGCTGTACTGCAGTACTTACTATAGAAAAACATCCACATATAAATGGACCCGCACAGTTCAAACCCGCATTGTTCAAGGGTCAACTGGACAAAAGGACAGAGTGAGATTTCATCACGCTACTCAGAATAGCATGCAATTCAAAACTTATAAATTGTTTATTTCTGAAATTTTTCGTTTAATATTTTTGGTTGATTGGTCCATCTTAAGCTTACATTATTTACCTTTTTTTTTTTTCATTTCAACTTGAAAGTTAGTTTCAATCAATAGTTTCAATTGTCTAAATATTTTCTACACCTTCCAGTTTATAAGCATTCACTCACTATTTATTAATCTAACAGGCATGTCTCTTCTGTATCTTCATCCAAATTGATTTTCAAATTGTTAAACAAAATATAACCAAGAACAGCCCTCCAGAATGCCACTAAAAACAACCCCTCTAGATAAACATCAATCCATTAATCAGTACTTGTATATCACTTGCATGCCAGCCAGCCCCAAATTTTCTTCATCTTGGGATCACATGAGAAAATGTTAAATACCTAATTTTAGCACTTAAGACATATTACCTTTATAGCATATTCCTGATCCCCCAGCCTAGGAACGTTTTCAAAGATGAATTGCCCTAATATACATCAAAGTGCTATATATATAGTAATTACCCCTGGATGGTATGATTTTTTTTCCTTTATTTTCTAATATTTCAATAACAAGCTTGTACTGATTTTACAGTGTAAGTAAAATCACAGCAAAACTTAAAGAAAAAAAAATTATCAGTTAGCTTGAGTTACTCTTAGTGATTTCTATGGTCATCCCTGTGTTCTTATCCTTTGCTCAATCAGGTTTAGAATTTTACCAGAGATCACTGTCAAGTTTCCAATGATACCCTCAAGCTCATGTGACCTAGAGGTTAACTCCAGGTAAATCAAACATCTCTACAGAGAGAATTAGAATTTGACTCTGCCTTCAAAAAAAATATGTCCAGAAACCATTCCTTTCTGGCTACACAGCACTGCCACCCTAGTCTGAGCCACCATCATCCCTGCCCTAACGAAGGCAAAAGGTTCCTACCTGGTCTCCCTGCTTCCACCGATGCCCACTTTTCCCCACCTTCCACAGTCTGTTCCCCAACAGCAAACAGAGTAAGCCTTTTAAAACGTAAGTTAAATCATGTCTGTCCTCTGCTGTCCCCTCCCCAGTGGCTCCCATCTCGCTCAGAATAAAATTCACTCCAGGGACTTCCCTGGTGGTCCAGCGGTCAAGAATTCATCTTGCAATGCAGGGGACGCTGGTTCGATCCCTGGCCAGGGAATTAAGATCCCACATGTCGCAGGGCAACTAAGCCCACAAACCACAACTACAGAGCCCATGAGCTCTGGAGCCGGCGTGCCACAACTGGAGAGAAGCCCACACACTGCGACGAAGAGCCTGCGCACCGCAACAAAAGATCCTGTGTGCTGGAACTGAGACCCAATGCAGCAAACAAACAAACAAATAAATAAATAAATATTTTTAAAAATAAATAAAATCCACTCCAAAGGTCTTACCCTGCTCTCAGGCCCTAGGTGACCTGAGTCCCATTACTTCTCTGCTCTCATCCCCTACTGCTCTTTCCCGACTAACTCCACTCCAGCACACCGGCGGCCCTGTCGGGACTTGGACAGAACAAGTCACGCTCATACCTCAGGGCTTTTACATTTGCTGTTCCCTCTGCCTGGGATACTTTTCTCCCAGGTATTTCCCTGGGTGTGTTCCTCACTTCTTTCAGATCTTGGCTTAAAATATCACCTCATCAGAGGCCTTCCCTGATGACCTTACATAAAGTAACCATCTCTCAGCTCCCCATCACTCCCTATTACCACCTTACCCTGCTGTTGTTCTTCTGAGCAACTATCCCCTATGGGTGTTGTTTATTTATCTACTTATTTATTTATATCTAGCTATTCATTTTTTAAAATATTTCTACGCATTAGAATATAATCCTTGAGAACAAGGATTTTTTCCTGTTTTGTTTAAGGCTGGACACTTAGCTCCAAGAACCGTGCTAGGCACGTGGTAAGTGGTACCATCAGAACATAAGTCCCAGTATATAGCAAAACACTCTATGTATAAGAGGTATGTGTAATAAATTTTGTTGATGAAAATGATTACTGCCCCCTCCCAAATTCACCAAGTATATTGAAAAAACACTGGTGCTCCAATAAAGAGAGACTAAAGTACCCTCAGAAAGATCAATGAACAAATGAATACTGGCTGCCACTCCACCCAACCAAAAATGAATTTCATTACCTACCCAGTTCCCTGGGGTAGGAAAAATGCTCCAGGGAAAGGAACAGAACAAGAATCCTGACCCAACGAACAGGGAAAGAATTTGCCTCGAAGTTTCCCACTCCCTCAAGAAGAGCCTGTCCCAAACTATGCCTGTTTCCAGGAGGGGTTCCCATGAGAGTGGCAGGTCTTGCTAAGATTCCTTTCCTATGTCCAATCACTCCTACGCCTAGAACCCATTTCCCAGACTCATTCTCTGGTTGCCCCATTGCTCTTCCTTCCCAAAGAACCTTGTTCTAACTATTATACAGCTACTGCTGGTGACCAAGACCACTAGGTCCTCTGGCCACTCACTGCTCCAGTTTCTTCTGTTTCATTAGTACTCTCCACTGCCTCAGTCAACAACAGCAATAAGATACTGGCATACACAATCCGGAAAGGGCTAGGAAAAGGAACTAGCTGTCAGTCACTGTCTCAACCAAAAAGTAACTTTCACAAAAGAGAAGAATTATAGTGCAATGAAAATAACCCAGGTTTAAAATCTAGTCCTGGGGCTTCCTTGGTGGCGCAGTGGTTGAGAGTCTGCCTGCCGATGCAGGGGACACGGGTTCGTGCCCCGGTCCGGGAAGATCCCACATGCCATGGAGCGGCTGGGCCTAATAGAAATAGTGGGTTATTTACTCACCTGATGAAGGCCTGTTTAAAAGCTCAAGTCAGGGGAATTCCCTGGTGGTCCAGCAGTTAGGACTTCGAGCTCTCAGTGCTGAGGGCCCGGGTTCGATCCCTGGTCGGGAAACTAAAATCCCACAAGCCCAGCAGCATGGCAAAAAAAAAAAAAAAAAAAAAAAAAAATCTAGTCCTACCATCTACTACTTGTATGAACTTGGAGAAGTCATTTAACCTCCCTAAACTCACTTCCTTGTGGTGAAAATAACAACTTACCTGATAGTGCTGGTGTAAATATTAAGGGAGATAATGTCTGTAAAACAGGACTATGCCTAGCATATAGTAAGTGTTCAGTAAATGGTAGCTAGGCCTATTTCTGAAGGTTGGCTGGGTGGACTGAATGAGAAAACATGTGAGGTATTTAACACAGTATTTGGTTCAGAAAAGGTCATCAACAAATACTGACTTTCCTCCCTCTCTTGTAATAGTGGTAAAATTGTAGAGACTTCAGAAACCACCCAATCCTGTCAGCGTGGCTCTACAACATTGTACAACATACTTACCATTTAGGTAATTTAAGCTTTCTGTCAATGCTTCTGGCTGCTCCCCTGATGCTTGTTGTCTTGGCAACAGTCACTCACTATCTTTTAATGGCAGTTGCCTCTTGACCTGGAGAGAATATAAACAGAAGGGAAAAGATAGGTAAAACCTGAATTGCACCAAGACTGGGCTGACCCAAAGGCCTATCCCAAAGACCTTCACATACACTGCAGTGTCAGAAAGAGATAAGGGAGAATCTGCATGCAGATCCTGACTCTGAAGGAAGCTGGCTATCTCTCTCCTCAGGGGAGAGAGGGAGTTTGGCTCTAGGAGACTTCCCCTTTCCTACTGGATGATATGGTCCCAGGATAGACTACATTGTTGTTCCTGAAATTAACAGACCTATACATTCCCCAACAGTCTAAAAATTCGTATGACAGCTTACATTCAGGAAGGATCTCAGAAATCAACTAGTTAAATGCCCTCATTTTAAGGAAGGAAACTAAAGCTTGGAAAGGGTGAGTCACACAATTGCTTAGGGCTAAAGCTGGGATTCTACTAAAAATAAGATGTTCTGGAATATGCGTAAGGAAAAAAATAATAAAACCAAACATCTGTGAAGTATCCACCACACCCTGGGCAATATGTTTTATGTTTTATACCAGACAATAACACAATAATGTTACCCCCTTATAGATGAAGAATCTAAATTTCAACAAGTCAAGTGACTTGTCCAAGGTCTCACAGCTTGTGAGTAAGTGACAGTCAGGGTTTAAACCCAAGTCTGTCCAACTACAAAAAGCCAAGTCATTATGCTGACTCTCACTGGGGTGCCTTCTAGACTTGGTCCTCAAAACAGCTCTGAACTACTCAATATCATTTAGAACAAAAACAGAGCCTGTCTGCAAACTTTACCCCTGGTTTTGTAATAAACCTTCTCCAGGAGGGCTGAAAAGCCTCCTAACCCATTGAATCTTACCCCTAACATTGGAGAAGAGTAAATGAAGGTGGAAGATCTGGGTCACACTTCTGTCCATCCCAGTCCTGAGGAAGAACAGAAAAATGGCTTCTAAGCTAGTGGCAAAACTAAAGCTTTTGTACATCATCTTACACTCACACTATCCCCCTCCTTTCATCACAACTGCCCATCCCTCTCTTACATATCCCACAGACCACCCTGTGACCTCGTTCCCAGGCTGTTGGTCCCTTTTTTTTTTTTTTTTTTTGGGTACCCGGGCCTCCCACCCTGTGACCTCGTTCCCAGGCTGTTGGTCCCTTTTTTTTTTTTTTTGTGGTACGCGGGCCTCTCACTGTTGTGGCCCCTCCCGTCGCGGAGCACAGGCTCCGGACGCGCAGGCTCAGCGGCCATGGCTCACGGGCCCAGCTGCTCCGCGGCATGTGGGATCTTCCCGGACCGGGGCACGAACCCGTGTCCCCTGCATTGGCAGGCGGACTCTCAACCACTGCGCCACCAGGGAAGCCCTGTTGGTCCCTTTAATCCAATTTCCACACCTCCACCACCAACCACGTAACATACATACAGACACAGAATCTACCCCTACCTCCTTCCTCCTAGGGAGCTAGAATGCTAGAATTAAGATGAAGAAGTAATAAAATGATAGCTTTTAAAACTGGCTTTAAAAAAAGACGAGGGCTTGAAGTCTCAAGCCAGTTAAGACCTAAGAGAGAAGAATTATTGATAAGCAATGAAAACAGCTAGAAAATAAGTAGAAAAAAGGATCTGTACCAGGGGCAGCACCCAAGGGATGGCTTGGGTGGGCATGGCAGAAGCTTTAGCTCTCTCTCCCCCCACCACACACTTCAGAAGAAGAATCAGTCTACGCAGATTAAGTGTGGTTGCTATTCAAACAGCATCAGGACTGGCCCACAGACCTTCTGTCCTGCCCCTCCACCCACCTTACACACACACACACACACACACACACCTTCCTTGGCATAGCCTAGAACCCTTCCTACATAAAAATTCTAAACCCCCTAACAGTGACAGCAGTGCCTCTACTGAAAGCTGCTGCCCCCTCCACCTACTGCCAAATTTGCTGGCATAGTAATAAAGCCCAGGAGCCTATTCTCTTCAAAACAGGATAGAATACATTGCCAAAAATCAAACCAACAGGAACTCCAGATGATCCTGATTTGTTTTCAACTATCACACAGCTTTTCCTTATTTCTAAGGGCAAATGATTTCTTTCCTTTGCTTCTGAATGTCATTTACTTCTTGCATCCTCATTGTACTGGTCCTCTGTCCCCAGAGACAAAGGATGACTGTAAACATCCTCAAACTCTGTAGTGCTGCCCCTTCAGAGCCTTTCACCCCAGCGGATCCAGCCACATCACTTCCCCAGGCATCTCCTCTGGTGCTTCTGGCTATTACTGTTGGCAGTGATAGTGAGGGTTCTGTGTGCATGTGCTCTCTATCTAGAAGAAGAGATAGCAGGACCCTTACAGATCATGGAAGAGCCCAACTGCCTCATCTTCCAGAGGAGAAAATGAGTCCCAGCAAGGAGAAGAGACTGGCCCAAGGCTGCAAAGCTGGTTGAAGTGAACCCGGTTGAGTCCACCTGATAGTTCACAAGCCACATTAAGGAAATGCATCAGTCCATCCTCATTTGATTGAAGATTAAAGCTCTCTTACCCGCTGGGCTCGGACCTAGGTTGCAGCGACATGGCTAAACGCACCAAGAAGGTCAGAATGGTGGGTAAATATGGGACCCATTATGGTGCCTCCCTCAGGAAAAGGGTGAAGAAAATTGAAATCAGCCAGCACGCCAAGTACACTTGCTCCTTCTGTGGCAAAGCCAAGATGAAGAGACGAGCTGTGGGCATTTGGCACTGTGGCTCCTGCATGAAAACAGTAGCGGGTGGTGCCTGGACCTATAACACCACTTCTGCCGCCACAGTAAAGTCTGCCATCAGAAGAGTGAAGGAATTGAAGGCTCAGCAGAAGCACCACCATTTGAAACACTGCAGCCTAAACGGGTTAATTTATGTAACAACAACAAAAAAAAAAACTCTTAAATGTATATCACTTTTGTTCCCAAAACACTTTGATAATAGACAAAAATGCTAGTGGGTAGTTCTGCTTCTAGTACACTCCTCCCACAGATAAACAACTAAACACTCTGAATAAAATATAAAAAACAACTATCTGAAGTGAACAATGGCTGGCAGATTTTAGAAAAGTTAAAAACTGGAAGAAGGGACTGGCAGGGGAAGAATTCCCCATTTTTGGAGCTTTGACCTGAGGGCTGTCCAGCTGAAGTTCCAATTCAAGATTAAACCCTAGGCTTTCTGTCCAGAAGGCAGAGAGACCAGAGAAGCCACAGACAAGAAGAAGAAGACAGCCTGAGATGGAGAGCCTAGGTTCTGTGGGACACTCTGCCCAATCTCCAGCTGACCCCTGAACCATGTCCACACGGGGCAGAGTCCAAGGACCTCAGCTAAGGACAAAAGAACTGGACTGAGATTTGAACTGCCACCCACCACAGGTGAGACAGAACGTGCAATTCTGAGTCTAACCAACTTAACTATCTGCTAAAACAAAAACATCAACAGAAGTCAGAGTCTCCACAACATAACATTCACATGCATCCATGTCCAGGACACAATCCCAAATTACATAAAGAACTAAACCCATTTGCAAGAGAAAAGACAATCAGGAGAGGGCAACTCTAAGATGACACAGATGTTGGAATTATCAGACAAGGATATTAAAGCAGCTATTATAACATCTATTAAAAGCAGAGAAATTGAAAAAAATTTAAGTGGAAATTTTAGAACAGAAATGCAGGATCTGAAATTTAAAAATTCTCTGAATGGGCAGGCTTAAGAACGGAATGGAGATGACAGAGAAAAGAGTCAATGAAACTTGTAGATCAAACTGAAATAACTGGGTCATCCGCAGTCTCTAGAAAAACCACCCTCAGGCCTTTCACCTAAGTGTACGCAATGATTACTTTCTGTTATCAGAAAAATAGGTATCAGAGAGAACCAGAATGACTAGGAATCACAGAGAAACCATTACCTGCAATTCTTCTGGAGCAGGCCACCCCTCATCTACTAATTAACTCTTTCAAATATAAGCAAAGAAGAAAGTATAAAGGTAGAAAATGAGAGGGCAGGATAAAAATATACACCTGAGATAACCATAATATCCAAAGTCCTAAGAGTCAAATCTAGTGCCCCACTGTGTGTTCTGAGAAGCAAGGAGATCGTCATGTTTTCCCCTATAATTGCTGAGGTGGCATTCTCAGGATTGTTGGCGAAAAAAGCCAGGAGGGATTTTAACATTTTTTTCTGCCCTATGTGGTCTCTTCAACAAAAATCCAACCTGGTAAACAGGCTGCTAGCAGGATGGGGTGGGACCAGTCAGTGGTCTGGAGCTGAAGAGTACCAGCAGCTTGGTGAGAGTCAACCTAGTGCCACCTGGATTGGCGAAAGCAGCTAACCTGGCACCACCACTGACCAGCGTCCCACACTCAGGCTACCATGTTGGAGTTCAGCTGCAAAAGACACGTGCATTTCTGTAAACCCTGCCTTTTTTTCATGCCCTTCCTCCCCACCCACACACCTGCCCACAGGGAAGAGAATCCAGTGCAAGTGCTCTTTTCTCAAGTCCTGTCATTAATTCTTAAATTGTGTTAATAATAGAGGTTTCAACACTTATCTATGATGGAAGGCTACTAAAATAATGTATTTCTTTTTCTAATTCTCCCAGGATAACTTTTTACCCATGTACCTCTTAAGATGAGAAGAAGGTACTCTTATCCCCCATATGACAGATGAGCAAACAGCCTGAGAGACTTGTGACCCTTTAGGAAAGCTAGAAACAGAGGCAGGACTGGCACCCAATAATCCCATCTCTGAGCTTCAGGGTTTCTTCACCTCACTAAAGAAGCCTTACCCAAAAATATAAACAAGATTGCCAAAAATCAACAGGAATAGACCCAAAATATAAACAAGACCCAAAAATATAAACAAGATTGCAATTGGAAAGAAAGGACTTAAGAATTTAGTATTAATAAACAATTGATAAGACTCATTTGTGATCAGCATATCTGTGTAAATGCAGGCCCTCAAGGAGGCCACCTGGCTCTGCTGTTTTCTTTCCTAACTAGTAGGTTATAATTGAGACCAGGCATCCTTGCAATTAGCCCATGTTTGTGGGGTTTAGCAACAGAACCACATGCCTGAAATTGTTGGTTATTCACCTGCTTTAACAAAGTTGGCTGAATCAGAAGAACATGCTGGCTGCCTTTAACCTCTAGAAGTCTATAATTAGGGTATCAAGGGGCCACAAGGATTACAGCAAGTAATGGCAAATGTAGTTAAACAGCAAGTCACAGAAATCACCCTAAGGAGAAAGGAACCAAAGGGCTTTTATTACCTAATTTAATCTTCATGGTAACCTATCAGGAAAATACCATCATGTTTAGTTTATAAATGAGGAAAAATTAAAGGTTCGAAGTCACATAGCTGATAAGTGATAACTGATAAGTGGATTCTCACCTACATATTTCTGCCCCAAATTTTGCTTTCTCCTCTCCATTATACCTCCTCTCTAAGGAATCATCTCTCAGATCTCACCCTCAAAAAAGTCAGTCCTGATCCACAGTCCAAACATCACAAACCTACATGAGGTCGATGGGTAGTTTGTTCATTTTTTCATTCATTCATTCATTCTAATATTGACTGACAGTGCATCAAGCTCTGGGGCAAGCGCTGGGGATAAAACAGTGAGTAGAAACAGACTGTCTTCGAGGCATTTAGTACAGTACAACAGAAAAGCACTGACTGAAGAATCATATTAAATATAAAATCTATGAAGCACAATTAATAGGAAGTGACCCACTGGGGGATGTCTAGGAAGCCTCCCATTCGCAGTAAGAACGTTCCAAGTAGAAGAGGGAGTACAGTGAGCCTGAAGAACGAAAGTAAATCTGTATAACCAAAGAAGGGAGAACCAACAGACTTAAGAGATGAGACTGGAGAGGGCTATACCATGCAGGCCTTTGGAGCCCACATTATTATTAAACTACCCAAATAATTTAAGTCATTTAAGTGTTAAAAAGATGTAACGAGTGTACATTTCAAAAAGATCACTTTGGCGTTAGTATGGACAACAGATGGATGGAGGTAAGGAGGATGCCAAGAGATCAGTAAGGAGGCTAGTTCTGTGGTCCAGGAGAGATAATAGCTAACAATACTGGGTATATACAGGGCACTTCCTATGTACCAGGCACTGTTCTAGGTAATTTATATGAATGAATTTAATCCTTGTAACAACTCTGTGAAACAGATACTATTATCAGTACTGAACAGATACTACTATAAAGTTAAGTAATTTAACGAATTCCATGCCCCTCCTTGGTGTCTTCACTTCCCTCATAATCAGTCCCTTGCAAACAACTTTATTTCTTCATATTCAACTAGTAAAACTTCAATCCTCGTTAAACCAAACTAACAACCTCTCCAGGCCTACACCAAAGCAGCAAAGTTATAAACTAAGTTGTATCTCTAGAGAAAATATAACTACATTGACTGGTATCATTTTAAATTTACCACCACAAATTTCAAACGGGCCCCCTCAATGCTGCCAGCAATCCAGCTACATTTCCCTTAGTAGGTTCACTTTTCTATTACCCCAAAATGACTCTTTCACATCTTTTTCCCTTTCAGTAAGCCTCCAGCTCCCATCAGCTAATGACTTTGCAACCAAGAAGCAACATCAAACCGTCATCTTCCAAATCTAACAACACACGAGCACTCTGCTTTCCCTA